CCAAAACAGAAATGGTACCTAAGGTTAGAGCTTCGAAATAAAGGTTAAATGGTGTGGTTTTCGTGTATGTTTCTCCATGTGATGTCATTAAGAATGTCTATTTAGCATCATCGACTAAATCTCACATATGTTGCTCCTTACTATTCTTCTATTTTCTTTATAGTCGGAAGTGGTGGTGAAGATGCAATAGTGGAGGTGAGGAATGGAGATGAGACTATGAGGTGTAGTTCTTGTTGTTTGGTGGTACGATGGTTTCAGTAATGAGTGTTACTATGGGTAAACACATTTATAATTGTACCATTAAAGGTACCAACACCCAAACCTGCAATAGATGAAAACAAAGGCCATGACAACACCAATCTTGACAAAAATGTTATCATGTTCTAGGAGAAATGACACTCACATGTTGTAGGCCAATCATCGTCTCCATCATTTGGTCCTGAAGAGGTTCTGAATTTATGCGGCTAATAGTAAAGACCGAGCAACATTGAACTTGGCCATTTGAGATGCAATTTGGCTGATAATTTTTATCAAACACTTGGTGTGCGACCCCTCCTTATGTCTACAACTCAATTTACAACTATGAAAACATCCACAAAATGCTCCACCAAGCTTGCTAAATCATATTGCACATCTAGGAAGGGTTTCACTCTCCTGGAAACTCTATTTGCTTTTGCAAAAAAAGAACAAAAAACTCCAATAATGATACAAACGTATGGTTTAGACTTTTTTTTATTGTAAAATCAAGAGTGAGAAGGTCGAGAGTGAAAGGAATGTTGAATGAAAAGAGAGCAAAACCCATATATGCCTTCGTATGTGAAAGAAAACCACCCAGATATGCCTTTATATTTTCTATCGTTGTATGTGTATAAAGATAGTGATAAGTGTAACATATTTTCATGTTTTGAAAGTTGTTCGGGATATGGTTTCAAGGGATAGAGAGAAAAGGGAGTACCTGTGTAAAAAAGATGTTAGAAACCCATATATGCCTTCTTATAGATCCGAGTTCTATACCTGATCTTAGCTTAGATAGGCTTCAAATAAAGGCAAACACAAAAAGATAATAGAAAAAAAAAATATGTGTCAAAACAGTAGCTAAAATTAAATCTCATTCTCAAATTCTAATATTGAACTCAAGTACAAATGAAAGGGTTCCATATTAGGCAAGGTTGTAAAAATCGTTCGACGGTAGCTCGACGGTCGACTAGTGTTAAGGGATTAATTGGCCTTGGCGGGAATTAATCGGGGACCATAGATTATTAATAAAATATTAAAATTAATCAAATAGTAATATATCTTAAGAAAAACAAGTACTTCGAAATTAGAAAATAAGAAAATTTGTAATTTGAAAGTTTCAAAATACGAAAATATGAACATTTTGGTATAATATTTGAACTTTTTAAAATTTGAAAATTTTGGAGTAAAAAAAAGTTGATTTTTTGAATTTTAAAATTTATTTTTACCTTTTTTGACTTTTTTTTTTTACTTTTTTGACTTTTTTTTAACTTTTGTTGACCGATTAATCCCGCCAAACCCGATTAATTATCAATTTCCGATTAATACTCTAATCCTTGACGGTTGGAGAACGCCAAGCGATTAATCCACGATTAATCACCGATTAATCCCGATTTCTGCAACCATGATATTAGGTCAGAAGATTGAATCGAATCAGATCGATAATAAATGACAGAGTCAAATTTAAGTGAAAGAATTTAACAATGATTATACCTTTTAGATTTTGAGCAAACTTACCGATGTTTGCAGAGCAACACAGTTGCACCAAGCTTCAAGTGGTGAACGAAACAGATGAATAGAAAGGAGAGAAAGAAAGTAATGGGAAGCTGAAATCTTACTTGGAGAGTGAAGACTGGACTAGACGGTGGGGATGGCGGCATCGACATCACCGAAGTCCTGAAAATCAAGTAAAAGTATAAATTAGAAAGAGATGAAATCAATAAATCAGATGTTAGTGGCGGAGACGATGGGATGTGCTATATAATGTGAGTCTAAGTTTGTTTTAACCGATTCAATTGGCTATATTAGTTCAAACGACTTTGACTGATTCACACATGAGAAATGCATAACGTTGTTGTACATGATGCTTTAAGGGTTATACCTCTTAAAATTCAGTTTGAGGCTAAATGCTTATTAAGGTGTGTGTGTATATATATATATATAGAAAAGTTCAATACAGAACCATAATTATTTGTTCTCCAAGAAACGATTTTTTTTTTCAAGTTCTAGAGCTTATTCTTTATCGAGAAAAAACTAAAAATATATAAATTCATAACTTAACATAATGAATGTTAAATATATTTTTCGGATTCACCGTGTGAATTTAGATTCACATTGTGAATTTTCAAAGATTCACATTGTGAATTTGACGAAAAAAAAATTGTCGAATTTGATATCATTGGAAAAATGATAAAAAGTTATGAATTTCTATATTTTTAGTTTTTTTTTTGATAAAAAATAAGTTCTAAAAGTTGAAAAACAGATTGGTTCATTGGTTAATCAAGGAACCAAGGAACCAATCCAAAGCGTCGAAATTTAAAGCGATCAACGGCAAAATGAAGGAACGGTTGTAGACTTTTACAATGGACGCACATGCACCGGATTAAAAAAAAAAACTCACTTCCTTTTTTTCGTTTTAAATTTTTTTAGACCATGTTTTTTATCGAAAAAAAAAACCGCGTATACCGTTGTTCCCGATTTTTCGTCCTCTTTCCAAAGAGATTCATGATGATATATAAAAAACGAACTTTTTTTTTTCGAAAAAAAAACCCACTTTCATTTCTTTGTTCAAAAGTTAAGGTCAAATTTTTATAGAAAAAAAATTAATAAATATATCAAAATTCATGCCTTTTTGTACTTTTTAAACATACATTCATATTCATGTAAAAAAAACGATATTTCAGTTCAGATTCACATTGTGAACCTGTTCAGATTCATATTCTGAACTTGTTTAGATTCACATTGTGAACCTTCTCAATTCATAGCGTGCATAATACTAAGTCAGATTTACAATGTGAATCTGAACTGATCAAACTTTTTCACATTTTGAATGTTAAAAATTGAAATATTTACAGTTTAAATTCACAGTGTGAATCTACACTAATCGAGTTTTTTTTTTTTTAACATTTTCAGATTCATAGTGTGCAGCCCTGCTGAACTGATCGAGTTTTTTCACATTGTGAATGTTAAAAATTGAAATATTTACAGTTTAGATTCACAGTGTGAATCTACACTGATCGAGGTTTTTTTTTTTTTCTAGTTGGTGTTGATGTTTATTAATAGATTACAAAAAAATAATATTTTTTTAGTATAATTAGTTTCTTTTTTTTGATAAAAATAAACTTAAATATTGAAAAAACTAACAAAATGAAGTGAGTTTTTTTCAAAAAAAAAAATCGTTTTTTATATATCATCATGGATCAATATGGAAAAATGACGAAAAATCGAGAACAACGGTATATTCGGTTTTTTATTTTCGATAAAAAAATGTGGTTTAAAAATTTTTTTAAACGAAAAAAAGAGGTGTGTTTTTTGGTAACGAGGTGGATTTTTTGGTATAATCCGGTGTGTGTGCGTCCAATGTACAAATGTACATCTATTTCCTTTGCCGTTGATCATTATGATTTTCGACGCTCACGATTGGTTACTTGGTTCTTTGTTAATTATGGTTCTCTATTGAACCTCACCTTATATATATATATATATATATATATATATATATATATACATATATATATATACACTAGGTGTAAAACCCGTGTATTACACGGGTATTAAATATATATATATATATATATATATATATATACACTAGGTGTAAAACCCGTGTATTACACGGATATTAAATAAAATAAATTATTAAATTGTAAATAATAAGTATTTTTTTAAATAAAATTTTGACATAAGGAATAAAGAAAGATATTAATTGCAATTTATTATAATATTTATTACATTTAATACTTTACATATTTAAGTAGAAGATTATATGACTTTTTAATTTTAAAAATTGAAAAAACCATAAATTGACATGTGGATATTATTTATTTAAAAAATATCACAAAATGACAAGTGTCAAAATTCATTAGAAATTGACATGTGGCAAAAATTATCTTCATTTATTATATATATATATATATATATATATATATATATATATATATATATATATATATATATATACTAGTTTACAACCCGTAAGAACCACGGTTATAAAATTAATTAATCTTTCATATTAAAAAATCAAAATTATTAATTAATTATTTTAAATAAATTATTATTTAAAAGATATTCTTTTTAGTTATATAAAATTATAGTCGTTGATTTAAATAAATACGTGAAGTTATATCACCTTATATATTTTATTTTTTAATCTAATGTTTTTAATTTGATATAATTAAAGTGAAAAAATTTGAAATTTAAAATTTAAAATTTAATATAATTAGGGTGAAAATTTGAAATTTGAAATGAATAATTAATATGTTGACAAGTGACATGATATGGGACATATAATATTAATGAAGAGTTTTAATATAATGACACCTGCCAATAGAAGAATAAATCTATTCATTTATTAGAATAAAGATTTGTGAATCCGTCCATACGTAAAATTGATTAAACCATATGATGAAGTGATAAACATATGGACTCTTTCGTATATCCGATAGAAAATACAAATAAAACTAGTTCCATATATTAGCCGGTCTACCTTTTTCATATTCTTTAATTGAAAAATATAAAAGATGATTCCATGTGTTGTGACTCATATGTGAAATCGCACTTTATAAAAACAGTACCAAAGATTTCCAAGGCTGGATATTTTATGACCTTTAATCATTAAAGGGTGTCTTAAATGCTAGATTAATCTCATATTTAATTATGCATGTAATATTATATTCATCAAATTTTAAACAAAACCAAGGGTGTGTTACATGTTGTCACGTTCTATATCCTAATCTACTTTTATTCTTTTCTTCCACATAAAATCCATGCATCTCTTTCTTTTCCAAGAAGTCTTATCCCCATTGTATCTCAACCTTCTGTCATCTTGCTGTTGTACTTATATACACACCTACCTCATTTACCCCATCCAGAAAAAACCCTTCAGCCAAAACGAAACGAGAAGACACTCCCTTGTTCATGTAATTAGTATTATTATAAAAATGAATGATTTTTTTTTTTTGTTAGAAATTGACCCTTTCAACTTGCCCGCAGATAGATTCTCTCTGTGTCTTGATTTCCACATTCAGGTTTCCATGTTTATCAGAGCCTTTTTCGATTCCCAACTTTGACCCTGCTGTGTTATTTTATGAAGCTAACTCCATTGAAGATTTGAAGTCGACTGTTTTACGATGTTTCTAGACTTTTAATTCGACATTAGACACCTACCCCAGGTATTTCTACTGTTTTTAAAACTTAATTTCACCAAATGTATTACGTTAGCTGATCATAATATAAAACTGAAGGGTTTTTAGTTTTTACCTTTTCTTTCTTAAAATAGTAAATTTGTAGTTGAATTTGCTTTCTGTCTGTCCCTCTATTTTGGGGTTTTTGATCAATCAGTTAAGCTTTTAAGAATCTTTATGACATGGGTTTCTTAAAAAATTGTGTTTAGGGCATTGCATCTGATTCCCTGTTTCTGTTTTCAACTTTTTCTTTGTGGGGTGTACGAAAGAACCCTTTCTCGTGGGTTACCTTTTGATGTTCCTTCATAATTCCACTTTGTTTTATTTTTCTTGATTAATTTCTTCAAGATTAGGGTTTTAAAGCTCTGACATGATCTTGGTAAGTAACCACTCTGTTCACATTCGATTGTTATTATTATTATTATTTTTTATTTTGTGAAGAATTCAGTTTCCAAATCCCTAAATCCACAGTCAAATTAAAATTCCCAGAAACCCATGATTTCAGGTGGATCAAATTTGATATGATATGATGAGTGTTCTTGTTTGGAATCTTGTTGTTACACTGTTACTAAATTTGGGGGTTTTCCTTACAAATGGTTTGACATCACATAATGCATCTACAAGACCAGCTGTTGTGAATATTGGAGCAATTTTCACTTTTGATTCAACAATTGGAAGAGTTGCTAAAGTTGCAATTGAAGAAGCTGTTAAAGATGTTAATGCCAATTCAACTGTTCTTCGTGGATCAGAACTTAGAATTGAAATGCGGAGTTCAAATTGTAGTGGGTTTCTTGGCATGGTTGGAGGTAAATCATGAATTTATATCAAATTATTTAGATTTATTTATGTTCTTTAAGAAAATTATGATCTCATTTCCTTCAAAAAGACCATATATTACTCTATCAATCCCTCTCACACTTTAATATTTTAAGAGGTAACTTGAAATAAAAAGCTTTTTGTGGGACATCCAGAAAATTGAAATGTTGCAATACTTATGGGTGTTCAAAAGATGCTTTCTCTTTTACCTCTTACAGCAGAATAAGAGTAGATCTTGTGGACCTTGATGAATCCTAGCTAATGTTGCATATTATCTATAGGGGCAAATAGGTAATATGATTCATGTGGTGTTTGGAGGTGCTTTTTGAAAGTGATTATCTGATTGTTTCTAGTTTCTGTTCGTGTGTGTTTACTTATGGTTAAATATCATTTAAGGATCAAATAATTAGTTTTTATACTAGTTGTAACAAAACTCATTATCAGAAGGTAGATTAATGAGCATTTATATACCTTTATTTTATCTCTAGGGCTAAATAGAGTAACTACTTTCTTTTCTTTCTATAACAGAATTGTAATTTTTTTTAATCTTATTAAAACATTTTACTTTGTTAATCTACCCACTTATGGCATTATACTTTCAGTTTTTTTCTTATTAGGACACTATATTTTGAAAAGTCTATCCAAATATAACAGATAAAATTTTTTTATATTTGGATCACATTGATATAATTGGGTAGATTTTTCAAAGTACAATGTTGTATACAGAAGTGACAATAGGATGTTGTAATAAACAAATCTTTGAAAGTATGTTGCTATTTCTTATAGAATTTTGTATTGTGAACAATTATCTTTTTACCATTTACAGCATTGCAATTTATGGAAAGCGATACGGTTGCAATCGTAGGGCCACAATCATCCGTAGTAGCCCACATTATATCACACGTAGCAAACGAACTACAAGTCCCTCTTTTATCATTCGCCGCCACGGACCCCACACTGTCCAACCTCCAATTCCCATATTTCATAAGATCAACACAAAGTGACTTACACCAAATGACAGCTGTATCCGAAATCATAGACTACTACACATGGAGAGAAGTCATTGCAATTTACATAGACGATGATTATGGAAGAAACGGGGTATTAGCGTTAGATGATGCATTAGCTGCAAGACGTTGTAGAATATCATACAAAGCCGGAATCCCACCGGGGTCGGAATCGGAATTAGGATACGGGCGGAGTGAAATCATGGATATTCTTGTGAAAATCGCATTAATGGAATCGCGAGTGATTGTTCTTCACGTGTATCCGGATATTGGATTCTTGATTTTTTCGGTTGCGCGTTATCTTGGAATGATGGAAGATGGGTACGTTTGGATTGCTACCGATTGGCTTTCGTCTGCTTTAGATTCAAATTTTCCAAATTTATCGGATAAAATGGACGACATGCAAGGCGTTCTTGCTTTACGCCAACACACCCCCGGTTCTAAATCTTTTACGGAAAAATTTAAAAAATTATCGGGTGGTTCTTTTGGGCTAAATTCTTATGGTTTATACGCATATGATTCCGTTTGGATTATAGCTCATGCTCTTGATGCGTTCTTTGATCAAGGTGGTGTTATTTCCTTTTCAAATGATTCAAGATTAAGTAACGCAGGTCTTGCGGATCTTCATCTTGATGCGATGAGCATCTTTAATGGAGGAAAATTACTATTGGATAATATATTGAATAGTGATTTTATTGGTTTAACCGGGCATATAAAGTTTGATTCGGATCGAAGTCTTGTCAATCCCGCGTACGATATTCTTAACATAATCGGAACCGGATTTCGAACGGTTGGATATTGGTCAAATAGTTCCGGTTTGTCAACTTTGACTCCCGAGAATCTTGACTCGAAAAAAGTCAACGGATCACATAATCAAGAACTTCATAGTGTGATTTGGCCTGGGGAGATAGTGACAAAACCACGGGGTTGGGTTTTCCCGAATAATGGAAAGTTGTTGAAAATTGCAGTTCCGATTAGGGTTAGTTATAAGGAATTTGTTTCACAATTACCGGGGAGTAATTATTCGAAAGGTTTTTGTATCGATGTGTTTGTTTCTGCGGTCAATTTGTTACCATATGCAGTTCCGTATCAATTTGTGCCATTTGGGAATGGGAAAGAAAATCCAAGTTATACCGAGCTTGTGAGATTGATCGCAGCAGGGGTGAGTTTGACTTTGAATATTAATGTTTTTAATTGGTTTAAATGCAAGAAATAGAAACATACTTTTGTTTTTTTTCCTTTATTATAGCATCTTACTTCCATTTCTTCATATTAAAACGTTGTGCTTTGAAAGATTTACGTAATTATAGCAATGTCATCCAAATACAAAGCATTTTTTGTCGATATAATTCGATAAATTTTTCAAAGTACAATGCTATAATTAGGTAGCGTTTTGAAAGTACAATGCCTTAATAAGAGAAAAAATGAAGGTAGAATGATGCAATCAGAAATGGGGTGGTTTGGTTCGGTTATTGGTCAAAATCGAACCATAACCATTACAATTGGTTAATGTATTTCAATAGTCATTGGGTAGCGGTTAATATTGGTTTTGGATAACGGTTTTAGTCGGTTAATGCTTATGGTTAATGGGTAATATTGGTTAACGATAATGGTTCAACATGACATAAAATTAAAAATACTTTTCTATAAAAATTGAAAAACATAAAGTCCATTATAAAAAGTGAATGATTATGTATATATAATTGTATTGATAGAAGATTATTTATCATATATAATTCTAAATAATTACCCTTTAAATTTTTAATTCTTCATATAATTACATATAATATACTCCTTCCGTCTCATATTTATTGTTCACTTTGACTTTTAAAGTATATATTCTTCAACTTTGACATTAAATATTTTTATTTATGTTATAAATTACTTGATAAAAATTATAAAAATGAAAAGACATTTAAAACACAATTCAATAATATATTTTGCATCAAGTATTATATATTAAAAATAAAAATATTTAAAATTAAATTTGAAAAATAAAAACTTTAAAAATCAAAAGTGGACAATAAATATGGGATGGGGGGGGAGTATTTAATATTATATTATATTAAAAGTATTGATTAATATTATTGGTTTGGTTCGGTTAATAGTGGTTCGGTTTTAGATGAAAACCATAACCGAACCATATGTATTCGGTTAATCAAAATTAGAAACCGCACCATAGCTTTTAGTAATGATTCGGTTAAAATGGTTCGGTTATATTGGTTAATTTGGTTATGGTTCGGTTTTTCAGTTAATATGCTCACCCCTAGAAAGTAGGATGTTATAATAAACAAGTACATGGAGCTTGACAGGCTTTCTAGGGCTGTTTTCGAGATGCGGATGAGGAGGGCATCGAGAGCGAATCTTTGTCCCACTTTTTTGGTGTGACAAAAAATTACAGTTTTTGTCCCATTGACATCAATCACAGTCTCAGTCCAATGCATGTCAAACACAGTACAGTGACAACATATCATGCATAACTAAAGTGGCCTAAACAATGCCTAAATAATTCATAGCACACTGAAGCATTAAAAATCAAACTTTGGTGTAGGTATTTGATGGTGCGGTTGGTGATATTGCAATAGTCACAAACCGAACAAGAATTGTGGATTTCACACAACCATATGCTGCATCAGGGCTTGTTGTAGTGGCTCCATTCAAGAAAATGAACACGGGTGCTTGGGCTTTTTTGCGCCCGTTTTCTCCAACATTGTGGGCTGTCACTGCTTTTTTCTTTCTTGTGGTTGGCACAGTGGTTTGGATTTTAGAGCATCGGATAAACGATGAGTTTAGAGGGACACCTAAAAGACAGATCATAACCATTCTATGGTTAGTTTTCTTCTTCTTTCATGTACACATATGCATATTTGGGTTTTAAGTCTTGTTATCTTTTAATTCAGTTAATGTCAAAAAGAAACACCACCTAAGCGTAGTTTGGCATAGCTTAATGATATGATATCTTGTTTTCTTGCTACAATCTTGTTTCTTATTTAAGTCTTGGTTTCTTTCCTTGCAGGTTTAGCCTTTCTACTCTCTTTTTTGCACATAGTAAGTGAGATTGCTTATTTTTCAACAGCAACATTTTGACCTCAAAAGTCAACTGTAGTGAGTGGTGCTTGATACCACTCTCTGTTTGATTTTTGAAATCAAACTGAACAATGCTTGAATTTTGAAATTCGTATTAATTTTTGAGAAATTTCATAAATATATTACATCTGGGACGACATTTGGTACCAAATCAGTTACAATACCCAAATTGAAGTTTGAGAGAAACGTTTGACTTGAAAAGTCAAAGTGCAATGGTTGGCTGGAATTGGAATTCGATTCCGTTCCAGTGATCCAGCCGAGCCTTTGGTTGCAAATGAATTTGAAACTTGGAATTCACAAAAAGTACTAAAATACCCTTTTTAACCCTAGAATTTCACAAACGGCTCTAGGCTCTCTATCAAATTGCAATTCTTTCCAATTGAGTGACGCGTTTTTTTTATGCAGGGGAAAACACGGCAAGTACTCTCGGACGTATAGTTTTACTCATATGGCTGTTCGTAGTTCTAATAATCAATTCGAGTTACACCGCAAGTTTGACTTCGATTCTCACAGTCCAACAGTTATCTTCTCCAATCAAAGGCATCGATACCTTGAAAAAAACCAACGATCGAATTGGATACCAAGTGGGGTCTTTTGCAGAACGATATTT